GCCAGCGGTCCCTAAGGGCTGCCATCGTTCGAAGTCTATAGACCTCTTCCTCAGCTAGCTCCATTGAGAAGCCGCCACAACCGAGATGGAGGACCAGCATGAAAGTTTCCTCCGCTGCGTTTTGCTTTTAGTACCGGTTGGTGCTTGACTGCGTCGTAGTTTGGGCCCTGGGTTTGGCTTATCCCAGCCCGGCTGCCGGGCTCACAAAGCAAAATCACCAGAGGACAGAAACACAATAACAGTGCACCGCTACAGGAAGTGCACGGACCACGGAGCAACCTGCCTCATCCCTGAGAGTCTAGATGCAACTTGTCGAGTTTTCGGCATGAAGCAGTGTCTTGTCTTAGTCGTCTACATTGATTCCGAGCTTTTGCAAGACTCTGCAATTACTTAATTGTGCGGGAGATTGGCTCCTGCCACTGGAAAGCCCCCTCCCAAACGTTTCGAGGGCCTCCACACGACGTCAGATCTTGACAGAACACGCAAGCCCACAGCGGCACCCTGCATCCCGTAGAATGTGTAAATGCAGTCTCTTAAGAAGTCAGACCTCTTTATATTCCAGCCCTCCCGTGCGATCACGGCAAATCCCGATAGAAATCGTCTCTGACCACATGCATCCACATGCCGCCTCAACAAAGGCGTCGACAAGAGCCTCCTGAACACGTTCTGTGCACTTTCTCCTTTGCCCAGCACCCACTCCTCCCACCCCCCGGGCCCGGTTTAAAAAAGAGGTGGGGACTGGGCGCCGAGCCTATTTGGGCTCCAAGAAGTTTGTCCAGTCTAGCCGCCACTTTTAAAACCCAACGCTTCAGCAAATCTTCAGATTAAAATTTAAGAAACGATCTTAGTTTCAAGGCTCAGCCCACGAAATTTGGCAATGAGTCGTGCCGCCTTCCCGAATGGCAGAAGACCCGCGCCAGCCATCTGAAATGTTGGACTTCAAAGCTTCCGGAGTCGGTGTGACAGGGCTTGGGCTTCCTGCTTTCTTGTGGATCTTTCATACCCTCAAGAAGCGCCACGAAAATCGGGGGAGGACACTGCGGAGAACCCGTCCCCACTTTCGAGAGGCAGCAACACTTCGGGAGAGGCAGAGCAGGCGGAGCGGGTGCGCCCCCACCTTCGCCTCTGCGTCTCCGAAGCCGGAGTCCGTCAGCCTCAGATCCCGCAGGCGGCTCCAGGGCAGCGCCCGCACCAGGGCCTGGCGCGAACAGACCAACAAAAAGAAGGGGCCTGAAAAGGGCTTATTCGTGCTTACAGAAAATGAGGGAGGCTCGGGGCATGCTTTGCAGGGGCGCACCAGGGCCTGGCACGGGGAGAACAAAAAAGGAAGCTGAATAGGGCCAATAGGGCTTATTCGGGGCTGAAAAGCTTTAGAACAAAGTTTTGTCGGCTTTGGACAGTAGGGCCTTTATGCGATTGCCTTTTAGGAAAGAAAGGAATGGGAGGCTCGGGGCATGCTCCGTAGGGGGCGCGCGCTCTCCTGCCTGGAAGGCCTCGCCGGCCAGCTCGCTGCCGTCCACTTCCACCACCTCCAGCCGCTCGTAGTGCGGCAGCGCCCGGGCCAGCACCTGCACCTGGGCTTCGGGCAGCTGCCCCAGACTCAGCACCGTGGCCTCGGCCGCCTTCTCCCGGAAGACCTTGGCCTGGAGCTGCAGCACCGGCTCCAGGTCCGACCTGTGGGTGAACTTCAGGGTCCCCCTCTCCGCTTCGGCGCGGAACTCCGCGGGCGCCATGGGCGCCTCGCAGTTCCGGCCTTCGCGGAAGGGGATCCTGATGCTCTTCCAGGGGCAGTCACGGGCCAAGGACCACTGCACCTCCGCCCTGCACCAGCCGCGCTGCAGGTACGGCGTGCTGTTCCGGTGCAGCTGCGGGCAGGGCGGGCTGCAGCCGAAGTGGCATCCGGCACCGCAGCTACCTGTCTCGTCGGTGTCCCGCAGCTCGGCCAGCGCCACGTCCGTCACGGCGTTGTCGGGGAGGTAGAAGACCTTAGCGGTCCCAGGCAGCTCGGGCCCGGGCCGGTCGTGGAGGCCCGGCGTCAGGTCCTCGATCCTTAGCGACCAGGTCTCATCATGCGCGTAGAGGAGGTGCATGTGGGCCATGCCCTTCGCGAAGTAGACGTCCTGACGGAAGCGCATCTGTAGACATCGCAGGCCCTCATGTCCCCCAACCGCCCCCTCACGAGGAAGCAACACAGACAACGGCACAAAACCGACGTAGAGATTCTACTGTCAGCCAGTCCAAGCCCATCCTGCTCTTCAGTTCGCGGGAACTGGTACAGGGACATGTAATCCACAAAGATGGCAGCCTGGCACGTGTCCGCATTTGGCGCTGCACTTTACTCACATGCATCTAGCCATGATCTGAAAGGCTTCTTAGGGGTGTGGAGGCGGCAGGCAACAAGCTGCTCTCAGCTGGGCCGTTTCAAAGAGCAGTTTTTTGGGAGCCTCAGGGCATCTCAGGGCTCCACTCGCACATGCGAAACGACCTTCCCTACCTTGCAAAAAAAATGTGTTCCGAGCAGTGCCCAGTTGCGCCTCCCAGTCCTTGTCGAGGTTCTGGGCCGGGGCGATCTTCTGCAGGATCTTCGCGAAGGTGTCAAGTGCTTCTACCAGCACTCGCAGCCTCAGGCGCTGCAGCGGAAGTGACAACAGTCTCTTCAAAATCAGACACAGTTTACAGTTACAGATTGCGAACCTGAGCCACTGAGCTGGGGCTCCCTGCTGGAACCTGGCCACGTCCGGGATCTCGCGGCTCTCCCACGAGTGCGAGAGTGCCATGACCGAGAAGCGGTGGGTGTTGCCCACCTCACCGCCTGGCAGCTTCGCCTCCAGCTCCTCCTGCGCCAGCAGGGCCGGGCGACCGTCCTTGGTCCGCATCCCCTCGGCTTCCTGGCGCCGGGGCATGGTGCGGCCCTCTGCCAGGAGCTCCCGGAGGAAGTCGGCGCGGACGAGCCGCACCTTGGCATCCCGGCAGTACGCCAGCAGGCCCTTCTGGTCCCGAAGGCTGTAGATGGCTACCTGCGCAGGCACGGTGAGCTTGCCAAGCTAGAGACACTCGACGTAGCGAGCTCGCCTTTTCCAAGTAGGAGGGAGCGATCACAGAAGCAAAAAACAACTGCCTAGGTGTTCCAGAACCTTTGAAACTTTAAGGTGGGTGAAAGCATCTTGATGACTCCGAGTGCTTTGTGAGTCTTGCGGTGCCGTCAGTGTGACATGAAAATGTCTCGTGATGATCTCTGGAGGGAATGCAGTACACGCCATGAGTTTCGGCACCCATTCTCAAGGGCCAAATTTTAACGATTGGCTCAGCAATGAAGTCTGGAATCATCTGGAGGTGTTCTGGAGTCTTCCTGCAGCCTAGTCTGAGAGCCCGGCCTGGCTACTGGAAGCAAAACATTTCCGGCAGATTGCGGCCCGGGGAAACAGCATCCGAATGACAAATAACTAGAGGGAGTGCAGATCTCTCTGTGTGGCGCATCAGCAAGCTTCCCTGTGAACCGCCCATTGCAGCACCCCAGCCCATCCCTCGGTTTACAGGGGGGGGGGGGGGTCAGGGAAACGGAGCTGGAAGAACCCGGAAGAGGAGCCGCGCGGCCTCGGCTTTGGACTCCGGCTCCTACGAGGCGCGGCGCACACATCCATACCGCACTGAAGCCACTATGACTATTACCATAACCGCCCTTTCGTCCTCCGTGGCGGGCTCGGAGGGATCGGCGGCTTCCTCGGCTTGGCTTGTCTAGCACATGCTCAGAAAAAGGGCCGAGTCCGCACTCCAAGAGAACCCTCCCTCTCGAAGCCTCCCTCTCTCCCGTCTCATTCTAAGGCACAGCTTCGTTCCCCCCAACTTACCATCAAGCCCAGGTGCTGCCTCTGCAGGGGGTTCCTCCCTCGCACCAGCGTCTCCAGATCCTTCCCGGGGTCCGTGATGCCACAAAACAAATCCACGAGCTCTCTGTAGCTGCTTTTCACAGAGCTGCGACTTGGACACCCGCTCCCTACAACACCCCCAATAGTGCACGACGCAGCTCTGCGGCTCTGCAGCCCTCATGCCCCGGCCTGCAGCCCGGCTCACTGCCTCTGCACGCAAGAAACGAAGAACCAACGCGCGCAACGCCTCTTAAGTTGCAGCACAATATCTTTGCAGGGCCTCTGATGTACTTTCTCAGCGTTTGGACACCACGGCGTAGAATTCAAGGCTACAGCCTTTGCGTGGGCTTTCTCCGGATCCGGCTTCGCGCGCAGCACCGGAACACACCGGAAGCATTCGGAGTCGGGGCCCATGCAAGGAGTGACAGGCTGAGGGATGCCCAGGCCAGTGCACAAGGAATTCGCAAGATCCGCTGGGGTGGCGACTGGACAGCGCGGGAATCTAACAAGTCCTATATGCCAAGGAATGCCGAGAAACCAAGCTTTCTGCGGGGGCCCCGGTAAGGTTAAGGGACATCTTTTGGGTGAAGGGTTCTGGGAGGTCGGGGAGTTCCAAGGGTTCAAACAAGGCCGAGCACACGAAAAAACTTGTCACTGGCCTCTGCCTCCGATGCTACCACAGGAGGAGCCAAGCAATGCCAATCTCAAAAAGGTATAGGGTGTCTCCTTGTCATCCACCCGACCTTCCCATGCTGAGAAAACGGCCGAGTCCGCACTCCAAGACAAGCCTCCCTCTCGAAGCCTCCCTCTTCGATCTCATTCTAAGGCACAGCTTCGTTCCCCCCAACTTACCATCAAGCCCAGGTGCTGCCTCTGCAGGGGGTTCCTCCCTCGCACCAGCGTCTCCAGATCCTTCCCGGGGTCCGTGATGCCACAAAACACACCCACAAGCTCTATCTATGCAGCTGCTTTTTGCAGAGTATATAGTGCGACACGACGCAGCTCTGCGGCTCTGCAGCCCTCATGCCCCGGCCTGCAGCCCGGCTCGGGGCCTCTGCACACAAGAAAAGAAGGACGAACGCTTGCAACGTCTTCAGTTGCAAGGGCATAGAGTTCAAGGTACACAGCCTTTACATGACTTTCTTCGGATCCGGCTTCGAGTGACGCACAGGAACACCAGAAGCATTCGACTTTCCTACACCGATCACGCACCCAAACCCTTCAGGCATCAGGATCAGGAGCCAGTGGACATTTTAACTGCAGTTGCAATGCTGATCCCCGCGGTACCCAGCCTTTTGCTCCGGGGCAGCATCCGCAGGATGCAATGGCACTTCCTTCGCACCTCCAGGGTCAATGCAGGCATGTGGGACCGCGACAGCCACAACAACTGATGGCTCAGCACTCATTGCGACTTCGTGTATCGGTCCATGCCTACAGCTCTTAAGGCTGGAGAGACTTGGTGGCCTGCTGCGGCTTCTCCTGAAACCTGCAAGACTTCCACATGGACAGTGCCTTCTGCTGTTGAAAGTGGATCCGACATGATTTTGTCACGGCCCTTTGTGAACACAGATTGAACGTTCCGAAGCCCCGTGATCTTTGACATTGTAAACTTGTCCAAAGGTTCATATCCCAAGCCCAGATAACTTAAATAACCCTGGACACACAGGACGCCCTGCCGTCTGTGCTTGGACGAAACCGCCCGTGGGCTCAGGATCTGCAAACCCTGGCGCGCATCACGTGAGCCTGCGTGGGCATTGCATCCGAGGGCAGAGCCAAATGCGATGCCTGGCGCCAGCCCGAGGGCAATGCAGCTAATGCTGTGTGCTGCCATTCTGGAGTTAAAGACTGTCGTAGCCCTCAAAAGATCCTCAAAAGCTTTCAGGGGAATTTATGAGCTGAGCACTGACACAAGCACCTATAGGCGTGCTGGAACCTCTAAGATATCTTCTTGTGGCCTAGTGAGCGACACCATGAGGTCACCATGAACAAGAACACTTGCTACTGGAAGCAACGTCACATGGTCGTAGTGCGGGCCGAACCTCGGAATGTGTTCGGCTCTCACTCAGTGGCAGCTGCTACAAGCCCTGGGCATCAACACTCCGAGCGCATCTGGCCTCGGTTGTGGACTCCGGCTCCTATGAGGCTCAAGCTACTCTGCAACCCACTTGCTACTAGTACACATCCGCTATGCATCGCCCAAGCCACGAACCGTCACAAATCGCAACCGCCCTTCGTCCTTGGCAGGCTCGGAGGGCTCGGCCATTTCCTCGGACGTGCCAGAATCTGCTCTCTCCAAGTGCTCCCTCGCTTCCATCTATAAACGTCTCCAGGAAGACGAGAACATCTCTGCTAGGATCTACAGGAACCGAACGTTCTCGCGGCATAGAGCCCTCACGCGGCCCCTCCAAACTGATGCCCCAAAACCCAAAACTGCAAAATTCTGCATACAGCCCGTCCAAACGTGGACTCAACGCCCCCCCCCCCCCGCCCCCGCTCCCCCCAACAAAGGCTTTAAGCCCCGATGCCAAAGGCTCCAAAGGCGCAGCAGCTGCGGACGCCAGCCTTGCCAAGGGTTATTTTGGGGGGTATTTGGGGGTTGACAGGGTTTACAGGTTTACGAGCCCTTGCAAACGATGAAGGGTTTTCGCGCATTCAAGAAGCACCAGGTCAGTCGGCCATTTCAGACCACCCAACCACCCCCCCCCCACCCACCCCCCCAGCCGTGGAAAAAACAGCTCAGGATCCGAGCTTCAGGATTTACAGTACGCAGTTATACTCTTGACAAAAGGGGATGATGCAACAAGGTACATGTCCCTGCTATAAGTGTACATAGGTTATTCCAGGTTCGTTTTAAGGTTCAGACATACTCAGTCTTTGAGAAGCAGATTGATGGTATCCGCTGTTGGAATGCTCCTACTTCAGCCACTTCAGCCCGGGCTGTTGGAAGAAGCACAGTGATCCGCCCAGCGTAAAGCCTGAACCTTGACCCTGAAACCCTCCATCTCCAGCCCCTAAAGCCCCAAACCCTGAGACCTCTTTCATTGCAACTCCCCTTCGTACCTTGCTGCCGGCCCAGCAGCCTGCAGGGCTGAACTTGCCAAGCTAGCAGTCCCAAACTGATGGTGGGATATTTCATGTGGTGGATCTGTTGTTGTTAGAGGCCACCCTCCTCCAGACCGCACACCACTTCCCGTGCTACACCCCCAGCGCCCGACAAGTCCGAGAGGTGATCTGCACGACCCCAAACCGTGACC